ACTTCCATACTCTGATGTAATTTTAAAGGACCAATTAAAAAACACACCTTCCCACTCCTAGTTAGAACCACCTGTGACATAAGGTGCTGGAGAGGGAAATGAAGATAAAAATGTTAGTTCTGAGTGTTAAATACAGGATGTGGTTTAGCGCTTTGGCCAAATGGGCTCTTGCCAATTCTTCACCCCAGAATTTGACAGACTTATCACCCTGCCACCGGCAATGACGGAGAATCCAGATCTCCCGAGTGACAGACAGCAGACCTGGAATACCTGCAGGCAGACAGGTAGATCTCAAGAGGGAAGGGAGGAAAAGGTGGAGCTACTTGTGGTCAGTTTCTTCCAAAATCCAGCTCAGATAACTCACTCTTGTCTTTCTGGGGACAGGTGCAGAAAGTGGCCAGGAGCTGAAAGTCCCTCCCCTAATGCCCTTCTTGCTCTGAATAATGATCTTTTTACTAGAAGGTCACAGGACAGAGCCAATTTAGGATGTGGCTTTGGATCTACGCGAAGTATAATAATCAGGTGAACCCGGAAGGTCCTTCAATCGATTGCCAACCTGGTGGTAATGAGCCAGGTGGGGCTTCAGTTCCTTGACTGTATCTGTTATTTTTTTCTCTTTCTTTGAAGCTGCTTTGATGATTCAGAACTATAAATCTGTGTGGCCCATTCGGCCTCTGTCCGCCAGGTGTATAATAAAGGTGGTCATGGGGGATGGGGACAGCGGTGATGCCACTACAAGCCGGGGCGTGACATTCATATTCCTGGCTCCCCGCCTCAGGGCTGGGTATCACCGAAATGCTGAAACTTAAGCTCTTTGTGCATCCGTGAGACAGGGCTGGCACGCCCTGGCAGGGCTGTTGACCCCACAGGCTCACTGCGAACGTCGGTCCCCCTCGTCCGCCCCTGGCCCTGTTCCGTCGGGTCTCGCTCCGACGCAGCAGCAGCCCCTCCTGTCCCAGCCGGGAAGCGCCACCTCCCCGCCCCGTAACGGTTACTGCGCGAGTTGTGCTGCGCTACCAGGCCCCGGCCGCCCTTGCCCAAGACCTGACCTCCGGGGCTGCGCCCGTCCCTGCGGCGTCGCCCCTCCAGGCCTCTGCCCTCCGGACTCACCGGCTTCATCGCTACCGCCCGGCGCCGCGACCGGTGCCGCCAAGCTACGCAGCCAGACGACCAGACGCGCCCCGCGCCAGCCCACCCCTCCCCTCTGCTCATTGGTACATCCTTCCGGGAGGTGGGGCGCGGTGTCTTCTAGGAGCCAATCGGGTCCTCTCCCTGTTCCCCACTCCGCCTCCAGGTGCCCGGGCTCGGTCTCTCGCCGCTCATTGGTTCGTAGGGGCCTTTGAAAGACGCGCCAGAGGAGGGCCCCGTGGGACGCTGATTGGCTGGGAGGGCGCCCTCCTCCCGCCGCTGGGAGTGTAGAGGGAGCGGGGCGGGGCCTGACGCCTATGCTTCCCAGTGGCAGGATGTCACGCGGTGACGGGGTGGAGAGTTGTTTTTGCTGCCTTCAAGTTTTTTATTTCTTCTTTTCTTTTTTTTTTGGAGTTTTTTATTTCTTAAGCGTGTGGGGGAAGCACTGTATTGGATCATCATATGAAAAACATTTGGACTTTGTAATTATATCTAGTCATGCAAATGCCGTGTAAAAGACTAACAATCCACGTGTAAATATATTTTATTTTATATGCTGGACCTTTTATGTTCTTTACCATTCTAGGCTCTTGACAATTTAGGGTGTGGATAAATCTTCCTGTACATCAACTATGAATGAAATAATGCTGTGTGAAAGGGAGATAAGATGCCAGGTTAGTCTACGGTGCCAGTGTTTCTACATACTTCCCTATAATCTCAATTATTTTTTCCCTTATTCTGCAGTTCCCTTGTAGCTACGGGAAAGGAAGCCACCTGGAGCAATGTCACCATCTGGCGATATTGAAGTTTCTTTCCTGATTCGTGCTGTGAAAGCCAGTGGGCGTAGAGCTATCAGAAGGAATTCCTTAGTAAAAAAGGTAGCACAGTTTGGCTTAGAGTTTCTACTAGTTAGGGTTCTCCAGAAAAGCAGGATGTATAGGCTGTGTATATGTCTAAGTAGAAAGACTTATGTTAGGGAATTGGTGCTGGTGATTGTGCAAATTTGCCAAGTTCAAAATCTGATGGGTGGGGGAGGGCATGGGCTAGAGACTCAGGGAAGAGTTTGATCTTGAGTCCAAAGACAGTCTGTTGTGGAATCAGGGAGAGCCCACGTTGCAGGTAAAGTCTAAAGGTTGTCTGCTCTGGGAAGGGTCAGCATTTTTTTTGATTCATGCCTTCAGCTGATTGCATGAGGCCACACATATTACTGAAGGCAGTCTGCTTTAGTCACAGTCCACTGGTTTAAATAGAAATCTTATCTGAAAATGTTTTCACAGGAACATCTAGAATGTTTGTTCAAACAACAGGGCACCATGGCCCAGCCAAGCTGATGTGCACATTTATTACAGAGACCCTCTGGGATTTTCAACAGGCAGGAAATCCTTTCATGTTTGTGCTGTCCAATATTGTGATCATCCTACTGATTATCTCCAAAGTCAAAGGCTAAATTAGAAAAAATTATTTTCTGAACTCAAGAACCACTTAGGAAATACTCATCCTCTTTTAGACTAGTGTAAGTCTGCTTTCTCAGGTGAAGACCTCAGGAGGGCTAAGGAATGGGTCACTATGCAGCACTTACTTATGGCTACTGTTCTGGAGTGCTGGTTTGTGCATACCAGTGGCTATGGTACGCTTTATATCTAGGTCTGGACCCTGCCTTTAGTCAAACATTATGTATTTGAGGGGCAGCTACTTTCTGTTGTCTGGCTAGGATGGTAGACTCGTTAAGCACAGTGGCTGTGCATAGTTTAAAAGGTATTTGCATATATTCAAAAATAAACCAGGGGCCTTGGGTGAAATTGTGAAATAGAGAAGGTTGGCTATTGGTGTTTTGGGCTTCATACCTTCTCTTTGATCTCACCCTCTCAAAGGTGAAAGTCAGGTGTGTTGGAGAAAAAGTGAAAGCTGGAAGCACCTGCCAAGCTTGCTTTGTCCCAGGCCACTGAGGGAGATCAGAAGGCAGGTGGGCTGTGGAGCATGTGTGCAGTGCGTGGGCAGTAACAAAGTACCATGGTGTGGTACTGCCTCTTGTTTCTGAGTTCCTACTTCAACTTCTTAAACTTTTTTTGAGACAGAGCCTCAAGCTGTCGCCCTGGGTAGAGTGTCATGGCATCAGAGCTCATAGCAACCTCCAACTCTTGGGCTCAAGCGAGTCTCCTTCCTCCACCTCCCAAGTAGCTGGGACTATAGGTGCCTGCCACAACACCCGGCTATTTTTTTTTTTTTTGGTTGCAGCCGTCATTGTTGTTTGGCGGCCTGGGCTGGACTCGAACCCACCAGCTCAGGTGTACGTGGCTGACGCCTTAGCCGCTTGAGCCACAGGTGCCGAGCCTCCTATTTCAACTTTTACACCCCTATACCTGGAATTGTCATTCTTCACATCTGAAAACAACTGGGCATACTTTCTACAGATTGCTGGGACTGGGATAGGGGCAGGGGAAGAGAAGGAGGAAAACTGGTAAGTGGGCAAATTACAAGAAAGATGGGCTGCAGGGGCAGCAAATACAATATTTTCATCTTTTAATTATATGTGTAGAGAACTAAATTATAAAAGACTAGCCCACTTGTATTATTTATAGATGCTAAAAGTGCAGCAAAGGGGAAAAAAACCTTCATATGTTTTTGATTTTTTTAAAAACTACTAATTACATAAACATCAGATTGCTTATACCCTTTTTTTTTATAATTTTTGAAGTTTTATATCATTTGTAATTTGTGAATAATACCTGCATGTATTTATCAGGTACAGTGTGGTATTCTGATACAGTATACATTGCAGGATGGTTAGTATAACTATAATCTCATATGTTTATTTTATTTCAGGGGTAGTGCACTCATTCTTGACGGAGGGATTTGTGGGTTTCAGGATGAGCATGGAGAAGTTATTTTGGGTCTCCAGGAGGGACTGAGGGTTGAGAATGGAGAAGGATCCTCCATAAGAGTTTGGTCTCAGGGGTGAGATTTTAAACTGAGTTCCAGAATTTAGGGGCTGAGAAGTGGGTTTAAAAGAACCAAGGCTAAAATTTGAAACCATGGGAGCAGGGATTGGGGCTGACTTGTAGGATCTGAGGGTTAATGGGGTAGGGGGCTGGAGCTGGTTGGGATGCATTGGGAGACTTTGGGAGGGAAATTTAGTAGGAATTTACTCATTCTCTGGGGCTTGATTTGGAAACTCATGGATCAATTTTGGGATATGAAGGCTCAGACCTGGAGAGGCTTAAAGTTGTTAAACATCGTGTATAGCTTTATAGTTATCAAGGCATTAAATTTTTATCATTTCCTGTACCTTACTCCTTCCTTTGAACAAGGAATGCATTTGTCACATTTCAGTGAATCAGGGTTTGGCTAGTGAATCCCACTTCTGACACCTGATTTATCAGGGAGGTCCCTGAGACCTTATCCAGATGTGACACTTCACTGAGACCATCAGAAAGTTATTCTTTTTATTTTTGAGACAGAGTCTTACGATGTCTCCCTCGGAAGACTGCCATGGTATCACAGCTCAAAGCAACCTCAGACTCTTGGGTCAAGTGATTCTCTTGCCTCAACCTCCCAAGTAGCTGGGACTACAGGTGCCTGCCATAACACCCAGCTATTTTTGTTGTTGTAATTGTCATTGTTTTTTAGCAGGCCTGGGCTGGGTTTGAACCTGCCAGCTCCAGTGTATGTGGCTGGTGCCATAACCACTGAGCTATGGGCGCAGAGCCAGTAAGTTATTCTTATGGCTATGATCTGTTAGAGTGGAGGTACACCAAGCAAAGATGGCAGAGAGATCCCACAGAGTAGAGTCTGGAGAAAACTAGGTTTACATGTCCAAGTATCCTCTCCTGGGGTGTCAGTCACAAAGCATGTGCTTAATTACCCCAGCAATGAGTTGTGACAAGTATAAAACATTGAAAGAAACTCATTAGACACTCAGTGACCAGGCCTTTTATCTGGAGATGGTCCTATAGGCACCCTCTGCTTAATATATACCTACATTTTAGACCCCCAGAAGGAAAGCAGATGTTCAGAGTAAACATTGCATAAAAGTTCAGGTACAGTGAGTCCTTCTTATCAGAGACTAGGATGAACTCTCCCCAGATTCAAGTTCCCATATACCAGTGAAGGCCAGCCATGTCACAAGCCTTTCTAAGGACAGAGCATCAGACAGCTTGCTGTACCAACTCTTTTCTGCACAGTAGGGTATGGCCGAAGGTTTGAAAAGTTTTTTGCCTGATTGGGTTTGTTCTCTTTCCCCTCTTTGGTTATGATAAGAAAAACATTCCTGGTGTAGCCCACTTACCTCAGGTGTAATATGAGCCATTCCTGGAATAAGGCTGGGTCCCCAGCAGAAGTCAGCCAACAACCTTAGCCAGCTTCCCTATCTGAGGAGCCTGGCTGAGAGGAGCAGGCTGTGCAGCTGAGCCCAGACTCCATGAGCTCTATCTCTGCCCATGTTGTTCATTACCTGATACTGCTGAACAGTTTTCCAAAGAGGTTACACAAATTCAAATTCTTGCTAGCACAGTATTAAACGCCTAGCACATCCTGTGTGAGGTGCCAGTGTTCTGGTCTGAGCCATTTGGTGGCTGGGTCATTTAATTTCAAATTGTTGAAAGACCTTTCTGTTGACTATCAGAGACAATCAGTAAATGCCATTCTTTAAGAGGTAGCAAAAGTCTGTGATTTTGAGGACTTCCTACATTATATGTTAATTATGGCATGTAAATGTTTGTCTGCAATATAAATGCATACACCATTGCATTGTGTATATTCTGGGGACCACACAACGGCTTATTTTAGACCAGGCATCCTCAAACTATGGCCCGCGGGCCACATGCAGCCTGCCTAGGACATTTATGCGGCCCGTGGGGGTGTTTTTGCCACCACTGCCTGTCTTGCTCAGCAGCTGACTCGACCTGGGGCCTGGCCCTCCAATGGTCTGAGGGACAGTGAACTGGCCCCCGTTTAAAAAGTTTGAGGACCCCTGCTTTAGACCATACAACGGCTGCGGATGTGAGCTGGGGGGTCTCCAAATTCATAA